TATGACCTTTCCTCAAAGAATTAACATAAATTACTATATGTCCCAGTAATTCCACTTCTAGGTATATACCCAAAATAATTGAAAGCAGGGACCCAAATGGGTATTTGTACATACATGTTCATAGCAGCATCATTCGCAATAGCCAAAGAGTGGAAGCAACACAAATGTCCACTGAGAGATGAATGGATAAACAATATATGACATACACATGCAATAGAATGCTATTCAGCCTTAAAAAGGAATAAAATTCTGATACATGCTACAATATGGGTGAACCTTGAAAATATTACATTAAGTGAAATAAGCCAGACACCAAAGGGCAAATACTGTATGATTTCACTTATATAAGGTACCTAGAAAAGTCAAATTCATATAGACAGAAAATAGAGCAGATGGTATGTGGAGGGGAAAATGGAGAATGGGAGTTATTGTTCAATGTGTACAGAACAAATCCCACTTGATCATGGTGTATGGTTCTTTTAATGTACTACTGAATTCAGTTTTCTAGGATTTTTTGATGATTTTTACATCCATGTTCATCAGAGATATTAGTGTATAATTTTCTTTTATTGTAGTGCCATTATCTGGCTTTAGTATACATGTAATGCTGATCTCCTAAGATGAGTTTGAAAGTATTCCCACCTCTTCATTTTTTTGGAAGAGTTTGAGAAGGACTTTTATTAATTCTTCTTTAAATGTTTGGTAGAATTCAGCAATGAAGCCATTAGGTCCTGGGCTTTTTTGATGGGTGAATTTTATTACTGATTCAATATCTTTTCTCACTGCTTGTCTGTTCAGGTTTTCTATTTTTTAATTTTTCAGTCGTGGTAAAGTACTTCTTAGGTTGTATATATTTAGAAATTTATCCATTTCTTCTAGGTTATTTAATTTGTTGATTCATAGTAGTCCATTATTATCCTTTGTATTTATGTGATATAAGTTATAACATCTCTGCTTTCATTACTGATTTTGTTTATTTGAGTCTTCTTTCTTTTTTTCTTAGTCTAGCCAAAGGTTTGTCAATTTGGTTTATCTTTTTTAAAAAGCCAGTCTTAGTTTTGATGATCTTTCCTATTGTCCTATTGTTTTTTCTATCTCTATTTCATTTATTTCTGCTCTGATATTTATTATTTTCTTCCTTTCACTAACCTTGGGCTGAGTTTATTCTTCTTTTTCTAATTCCTTAAGGTGTAAGATTAGATTGTTTATTTCAGATCTTTTAAAAAAATTGATGCAGACATTTATTGCTATAAACTTCCCTCTTAGAACTGCTTATGCTCCATCCCATAAGTTTTGGTATGTTGTGTTTCTATTTTTGTTTCTCTCAAAATATTGTTAAACATTCCCTTTAATTTCTTCTTTGATTCATTGGTTGTTCAGGCATATATTGTTTAATTTCCACATTTGTAAATTTTCCAAATTCCTCCTATACCGATTTCTAGTTTCATACCATTGTGGTTAGAAAACTTACTCCATATCATTTTAATCTCCTTAAATTTGTTAAGATTTCTCTTGTGGCAGAACATATGATTTATCCTGGAGAATGTTCTGTGTATACTTGACAAGAATGTTGAACAACCTCTCCCCATTCATTGCCCCCTACTTTTGCCAGCCTTCTACTCTCTATTTCTATGAGATCAACTTTTTCAGATACCACATATGAGTGAGATCATGTGGTATTTGTCCTTCTGTGCTTGGCTTATTTCATTTAACCTAATGTCCCCTAAATTAATCCATGCTGTTGCAAAAGACAGGACTTCATTTCTTTTTATGGCTGAATAGTATTCCATTGTGTGTATATACCACATTTTTATCCATTATCTGTTGATGGACACTTATGTTGATTCCATATCTTGGTTATTGTGAATAATGCTGCAGTAAACATGGGAATGTAGATATCTCTTCAACATAATAATTTCATTTCTTTGGGATATATATCCGGTAGTAGGATTGTTGGATCATATGATAGTTATATTTTTCATTTTTTGAGGACCCTCCATACTGTTGTCCATAATGGCTGTACCAATTTACATTCCCATCAACAGTTTTCCCATGTACTAATTTACATTCCCATTTACGATCTTACTTTTCAGAAGATCTAATTTTTTACATAGTGAATATCAATCTTTTTATGATTTAATCTTTTTATTATTTTTTGATGTTCATATAACTCTTCTTCTTGATGATCTTTTCCCTGAATTCAGATTAACATTTATCTCTATTTTTAGTTACTTTATTGGTTTGTCCTTAATATATTCAAGGTAAAAAATGTGTGTACAAGTAATCCTCAAACTCTAGTGGGCAACAGAACCATCTGTGAACTTGTTAACAATGTAACTACCTGAGCACCATTGATAAAGAGTGAATTCTGGGTGTGAGGCCAGAATTCTTATTTTAAACAAGCTCCACGTGGAATTCTGAAGTATTTGATAGGCTAGCAAACTTGGAGGAACACTGGCATATACTATCTTAAAAGAATCTCATGTGCTGATTTTGGAGTGCAATTCCTCCCTTGTGGTATTTCTTCCTCAAGATATAAATTATAGATAAATGAATTGACTTGCTTAGTGTTGCACAGTCAGGGGTAGTGTGGAGAAAATAAACCAAAGATATTTTATCCATAAATTTCACTCAGTTATTCTCAACTCCATATGTATATAAGAATGACCATGGATCTTTTACACTGTAATGATCCCTTGGTCTCACCATTAATGAGCGTGATTCAATTGATTGGAAGTCGGTCCTAAGCGCCACTTTAAAATTTTCTCGGGTGGTTCAAATCTGCAGCCACAGTTGGGAACTTATGCACTAAAGACAAGAACATTAAAAAGCAAAAGACAGTTGTCTTTAAAGAAGGGCACAGACGAGTGGGGAAATAATGCCTCGTGTAAGTAGATTAATTAAGGTCTTATACAGTGCTTTCACAGGTCTTAGATCTATCTATCTATTTATTTATCATCTATCTCTCTGTACATACTATGTGATGGGGAAAGGAGTGTCCAAACTTGAACTAAAGCTGGGGCCTCCACTTTAATTTATGTAAGTCCAGGGATGTCTTGATTAACTAGAATGCAGTGGGTATAGAGCGAAACACAGTTTTCTGAACTTTTAGCCAGTTATTTAGGTGATTTTGATGCAGCTGGTCTGTATAGCACACATTGATAAACACTGACATTTATATTATGATAAGTCTATGTTTTGAAATTGGTATATGATGCTTTCTCTGCTGTGTTCCTTTTTAAATTGAAAATTGCAGTCTGTAGGAAAAAGCAGTTACTTGCCCATTAATGATCAGAGGCAAACCTGAGTCTAGATTGCAGGACTCTTGACTCAGCTATAATTAACTGTTGTGCCCTACAACGTACCAGGCCCTGTGCTAAACACTGAGAGTACCAGGATAAATGAGACAAAATATTTATTGTGAGGGCACAGTCTAGTGAGGAGCAGTGATGACTGTGGAAAATGTTCTAAAACTAGGATCCACCTACTAGGTCCCCAGTCTCATCCATTAGTTCTCATCAGTCTGTGATTACAGGTTTATTTGGCACAGCAAATCTTGAAGCAAAGAAAGAGGGAAACTCCTCTGGATCTATGTGGGTTAGTGTGAGGAAAGGCTACTGGGGATTTCAGGGGTGAGGATGGTGTGACTCAGAACAATTTTGGAGACATAGGAGTCACTCCTAGAACTCCTGTGTATGTACAGAGTGAAACCTGCAGCACTGTTTTCACAGAGAATGGAGAGTCAAGGAGACTAGGTCATATTCATCAGAGGATGGAAGGGATAGTCCAATTCTGAGCATAGTCACTCAGATTTGTCTAGGGGAGGATGAGAAAGGAAGTGTGAGAAAACCGTGAAGGCCTATTTGCATCCCTAAGCAGCACTGGTAAGTTATACTTAAGCCATTTAAACCTGGTTTAAGTATAACTCTAAAGCAAGGAGGGGCATTCTTTACATTTCTGAAAGGAGAAAATGCAGATTCAAACCACTGAGGATTCCGGAGAAATCAATGGGTTTTTGTCACCTTTAGGAGTCCAGCATATCAGCAGTGGAGGAGGCCAGGGAGGAAGCAGAAGGGGAAAAAATGCCTGATAGTCACAGCATTGTCTAGGAAAGGAAGGCAGAACAGCAGAGTAATAGAAAAGTGTTACAGGTAAAATCTGAAGTGCTCCAAACTCCAAAACTTTTTGAACACGACATGATGCCATAAATGGAAAATTCCACAGCTGACCTTATGTACACAAACTTTGTTTCATGTACGAAATTATTTAAAACATTGTATAAAATTACTTTCAGGCTATATGTATGAGGTGTATATAAAAATTAAATAAATTTCATCCTTCTACTTGGGTCCCATCCCCAAGATATCTCATTATGTATATTGCAAATATTCCCAAATCGGAAAAAAATCCAAAATGAGAAACACTTCTGATCCCAAGCATTTTGTGTAAGGGATACTCAACCTGTACCCACCTGACTGTTGATTGGATTTGCTGGTAGGCACACCGTTTGGAACATTCCCCTCAAATGAAAGGCACCTAGAGGGTTGGGCCTTGCATGTGTGGGTACAGCCAGACACTGGGTTCAGTCATTACCTCATTTGATTCCCACAGCAGCCCTGTAAGGCATATATTATCTTTATTTTAAAGATAAATAGGCTGACTTTAAAGAAATGTATCTATAACAATTACCAGGTTTGTGCTTTTAAATAAGAGATTCAGAGGTAATACAAGACTTATGTCTTTAAATTGTGTTTCAAGTATTTATTAATTGCCCCCATTCCATTTATAAGCTGATTGGCAGTCTCCTAGCTTCTTTTTTTTTGACACATGTAGAACATATGTATTCATTTTGGAAAAGTGAGAAAAACAGATAATCAAGAAAAAAATAAATTAAAAAGTACCAATCACTATATTACATAGAAAAAACATATTCTGGTTTTAATATATATATTTCATATATAGTAAAAATATGCATGCTTTTAAATGAGATAGTATACCTATAGACTGCTTTTTAAATTGCTTTATTAACTTTACAACATGTAATAAACATCTTCCCATGCAAGTTGATGAAAACCCCCTGCTGACAAAAAAACTTACAGACTAGGTCAAAATGAAATCTTCAATCAGAAAATGGCAGAAGAACACCAAAAGATTCACACTAAAAGTATACCAGGAAAATACAAGTTTGGAAAGCAGGCAGCTTATAATTATTAACCTTAAGATTCAAGGCATAAGGCAAAACTCATCATGATGATCATGGTGAGGGGGGTCCCCTATAAGAATACGCAGACTGTACCTCAACTGAAGCTCCCTAATTTTCCTCCTTAGCTCTCTCATCTCCTCCATGAACCGTTCCATATCATCCGCATCTCCATCTATCATATCAATGTTATTGACAAGCCTATTAGGCACATCCTCTCCAAAATCCTGTGCAGGTGGAACCCAACCCCCTCTAATATTTCCTCCAGGCTCCCGGACTTCACCACCTCCCAAAGGACGACCTGCTTCTTCATTCTGCACTGGGGCTTGCTCCCCAACTGTGTTTTCCTGGGAGGCGTTTTCCATGTTGAGGTTTTTTTTTTTTCCCCCTGTTTCTTCTTCCTAGGAGATAAAAAGCAAGAAAATGGATTGGTAACAGGATTCAAAGGTCTGTCTGGCAAAGGTTTTCCTACCTGGGAAACTTCGTTCAACCACTAGGGGGCGCCCCAACTCAGCCTTACCCTAAAGCTCACCATTTTCCCTGAAAATCCTTTCCCAGGCCACTCCCTCCACCGAAGTGTAGGACGGGTGGTAGGCTGGGCAGCAGTTGAGAGACCAGGCCTAACCTCCTGGGGATACTGATAAGCCCTCCAGGGGCGCCCTAGACTTCGCCCTTTTACTCCCTCCTTCCTTCACCAGCCATAGGTTCGCTGCTTTGTTCAGACTCTGACAGGTTTCTTCTGCACTTAACTAGGACAGGGAGGGCTGTGAGTTCCCCAGATTCTGTTTGGATCTCTGATACTCCTACACCAGAGTGCCTCAGGGAACCTCCTACCTGCAGGGATCAGAGGCAGTCTTTCTCTCTTAGCCTTGAAATCTGCTGCGCCAACGCACTTAAAGACCTGCAGACAAAAATATGACAATGGCCAGGACTGATCACTTGATGAAAGGGCTGGTACTGGGGGCACCGGGTCCGTTGTTGATTTAGCGCTCTCCTAGTCAAGCGTCACCACCTTGTGTTTCTCCTCCATCCTGTCTCACAGCTTCTTTTCCCACCTGTGACAGGCTACCCCACCTTCCAGAAACAGGCATTGTAGTCAAAGATAATTATTTCCAAACCATGTTAACCTCTTCTTTAGGGCCCTTATCCCCACTGTCTCCTCCTACTCGTCACCTAATTACCATTTCTTGAACGCAGATGGACAACTTGCGGGGCGGGGGAGTTAGAAGATCTTGTTGGGTGGAGACGTGGTTTGTTTACAAAGAATTTCAATCTGGGTATCCCCCGAGCCCCTATGGAACCCACTGCCCTCTCTCCAGCCCACTCCCTCCCTTGCCCACCATTTTGTGCATCAAGATGGTCGACGGGCGAAAAGGTGTGAGGGCACTGCATACCAGGACCCAATGTGATGTCAGCGCTTTGTCATTCTTACCCCAGGGTCCCAAGCTTACACCGACCTACAGGGACGAGAAACCGTTTCTCGCTCCCCGCCTCTATCCCTCAGTCAAAAGTGCACTCGCTACTCAACCGCCGCAATAGGAACCTACTTCCCAGACCTAATCCCTGTTCCCGTCCTCTGCAGCAATTCCTCTTCCTGGCCCCCACAGCCCACCATTTCCGGCTCCAAAGGGACTGAAGGTGAAGAAAAGATACCAGGAATGCAGGCCGAAAACCATGGCAGGGTCCGTCTTCCTCACCCCCTTGTCCGCGGCTGCACCCACTCCCGCGGCCCTGCAGGAATCAGGCCTTTTCCTCGCCATCCCGTCCCGCAGCCCGACTCCATCAGACATTACCCGATCGCTCGTATCTTAGGAGATTCCTATTGGTACCCTTCACAACCCGGGTCCCCTCTCGAGATCCTCCCCGCAAGCCCTCCATTTCTTGCACCAAACGGTGGGTGTTGGGGAAGGAAAGGGTAGATAATCCAGTCTTGTACCCGCTCTGGTCTTTGCACTCTGCCATCCCCACCCCAGTCAGCGCCCACCAACCTGCCACGGATCGGATAGAGGTCAGCTTTTACCACTTTCCTCCTTTCCTGGGCAGCTGGCTCGTCCGCCTTCAGGGCAATAACTAGGCGGCGCACTGTCACCAACGACTACCAGACTGCAACTAGGAGAGACCAATCCACGCGTTGGCTCTGGGTCTGGTAAGGGCCACGTCACTGTGAGCTCAGATTCCCAATTACCATTCACACCTGCAGTGCGGCAGGAGGGTGGGGGCGAGAGCATGGGCGGGGCCACCTTTCTCATTCTCGTCTTCTAAACCACTACCACAGGCTACTGCCCACCCCTCCATTTTTTTCTTATTTAGCGATCCCCAAAACCAAACGGGCCACATAATATTTTGTAGTTTGTATTTGTCTTTTCCTGGTTTGTGCTGGAGCTTTTAAAATACTAGTTCTTCCTCTCCTATAACCCTAAACGTCTACTTCTCTCCTCTTCACTTCCCAGCAAGTAAAACCCAGAATTTACCCTCAAAGTCTTGCGGGTCTTGTCCCAGATTGGAACACGAGTGAGGGGTGAAGAGCACGAGGCTAGGAAGTCTAGAAAATAGGTAGAAAGTGGCATTTAATTTTTTTTCACCTTATTTTCCTGTCTTTTTTTTTTTTTTTTTTGGAGGTGGGGAGGACATGGTTGCTTTCGTTTTGTCTCCTATCAGCATATATTCATTTTTCGATGTTATAACGAGACAACATAATTATTTAATTGAAAAAAATAAGGTTCGAGTTGTAAAAACATGGCAACCTGTTTCTGCTGCTGAATCATATTATAATTACAGACCCTTCAGACAGCACACTCCTCCCCCCCTTTAAGGACGTTGAAATGTAAATCTTAGCCGGTAGCTACCCTTGTGAAGGGTCTCTATCTGTGTGTCCTTCCATGAGGTAATACACTGAGTCTAATAAAGCTTTGCTGGTGGATTTTAAGATCTTGAAAGCCTGTGACAAACCGATGATCTCCTCTAAATTATATTAGTGTAACTTCACCTTACAATAACACTCCAGCTTCGTCTCTAAAGTAGAACACCAGTGAAGTCTTCCAATAATTCCGGACAATAATTTGAGGAAGCTACCCTGACAGATGAAAAGTATTATGAAACCACAATGTTAAAATAATATTGTACCCGAATAAATGTAGAACAAATCAACCAGAAGAGAAAGCCAATTGTCAAATCCAAATATGGAGAAAGGCTTCTAAGCTGACTGAAATATTTTGAATCAGTGGGGAAAAATTAGAATTATTGAAGAAATAGTCCTGGGATAATTGGCTAACTATTTTGAAAAACAATGAAATGCCTTATTCCTCTCATATACTTAAATATAGATACTAAATGTTTAGATAAAAAGACATACAACCATTAAAATAGAACACGATATGTTATTTTGTATAGAACCTTCAGATGGAAAAGTTCTTTAAACATATAGCCCCAGAGACTGACATGACCAAAAGTCAATCAGCTCAATCATGCTGGGGACCCCCTAAGTCAGTATATAATGCTCCTCAGAATCATCCCAACTAGCGATGGGAAGCTGCGGTATCTGTCCTCAGACTAGGGTCCTTTATTGGTGGATGTTACCCTGGGTATGTTAAAATCTCTGGCACTTCTAGGTTGTTCTAAGCCTGGTCTGAGCAAGATCCCAAGGTGCCAGAAAAAGCTGTAAGCAAAATTAGAAAATAGAGATAAGATAGAAGGATAATATCAGTGTCATCCCCACCCCAAGAAATATACTGTTTTACTCTAAATCAGTCCAAATATTTCCCTTCAAAACAAAGGTAATACATACACATTCATTTCGGTATTTATGGACATTTGGGCTGTTTGTAGTTTCCACTATTATACATGATGCTGATTGAACTTCTGTGTACATAGAAGTTTGGTACTAATATCAAAGTTTTAAATTCCTAGAACTGTCATTGTTGTATATGAATGTGGATGTTTTTCATTGTTATAGAAATCAGTCTAGAAAAATACTGTCCAAATTTAGTGTCTATGATGTATGAACATTCCCATTTTCTCATATATCCACCAATACTGAGTATTGCCTGATATATTTTTTAAATATTATTTTATTTTAATTTTTCTTTCATTTTGTTTTATATTTCAAAAAACTTATTGTCAGGTCACCAGGTAATGTTTTCTAAACCTGCCACATCATAACAGACACCTGAGGTTAAGATTCCTAGACTTCTTCTCTAAAGATTCTCGTTTAATAGGTTGGAGTCAGTTCTGAGAACCTGCATTGAAGAAGTTCCTCGACATAATTCTTAACATCAGATAGAATTGGGAAACCTTGTCATAGATAAAAAACAAAAACAAAACAAAGCAAAACAAAAAACCAAAGAAAAATCTCCCATTGTTATGTAAGCGGTCTTTTAAAAAAAACATTATTATAAAATAATTTCAAACTTACAAAATGGTTTTGAGAATAAACTAAAAAACCTCACATACCTTTCACTCATTTCTCAGTTCTCAACATTTTGCTACATTTGCTTTGTCATTCTCTCTTCGTATAGAAAGGATACATTATTATTTTTTCTGAACCATTTTAGAATCAGTTGAAAACTAAATGGTCATTTAAAAATATTTTGTGCAATTGATTCCATATAAAATTTTCTTAAAGATTAGTCTATTTTTGTCTTTAGAAATTTCTCATATAGAATTTTAAAAATATATAAACATGTATAAAAATAAATATTTTAGCATATACTCTCACTAAATATTCTTTTTTATTTTTAAGATGAAGTCTTGCTCTGCTGCCCGATAGAGTGCCGTGGTGTCAGCTTAGCTCACAGCAACCTCAAACTCCAGGACTCAAGCGATCCTCCTGCCTCAGCCTCCCAAGTAGTTGGAACTACAGGTATACATCACTATGCCCCGCTAATTTTTTTATATTTTTAGCTGCCTGGCCAAATTTCTTTCTATTTTTTTAGTAGATACGGGGTCTCACTCTTGTTCAGGCTGGTCTTGAACTCCTGAGCTCAAACAATCCTCCCGCCTCGGCCTCCCAGACTGCTAGGATTACAAGCGTGAGCCACCGCGCCCGGCCTGTTTCCTTTTCTAAGTTTTCCTTACATGGCTTCATTACCAAACTTCTTTATGTGGATGCAAATCTGAAAAAGGAGAGAACATAACACAAAAGAAGAAAGTTCTTTCTGGAGAAGTTCTAAGGAAATATTAGGATCAGGCTTATATCACATAACCACTTTCAAATGCTTCTGAGAATGTAGCATTTCTCTAAAAATGGAGCATGTCCTCCTGGTGACTGTCTCTTCAAGATCCAGCCACTTCTTCATCATCTTATTGAAAGGTTTCAGGTTGCTGTAGTTCCACATAAAGAAATATGTATTGATGAAACAATGGTACCATTTCATGGATGTTTGAGTTGCATACAGTACATAAAAAACAAGCACTATAAATTTGGAATAAAACTTTTCAAACTTTGTCTAGAAGATGGTTACACCTGGAATGTGAAAATTTACTGTAGGAAGGAAGCAAGATCTGATATTCCCGTTTCATCCTCAGTTGCCATGAAGGTATCAGAAGGTTTACTAGATAGTGGATGTGTTTCATACACTGACAACTACTACGCCAGCATCCACCTAGCTGATCAACTCCTTGAGCACTCTACATATCTGGTGGGCACACTAAGAAGTAACAGTAGACTAAACTCGCCAGACGTAGTAAGGGCGAAGCTGAACAAGAATGAAGTAATTGCTCAAGAAAGTGTTATGAGAGTTGTCATCTTCAAATGGAAGGACAAGAGAGATGTACCGATGCTAAGTACCATGCACGGTGAAGACACTAAAGCATCTGAAACAAGAAAATGTGTTGTAGAAAAACCACATGATTGCAGATTATAATAATTCGAAGGCTCCCAAGGTAAAGAGACATGTGAGTTATATATGCTTCACGAGGCCCTGAGCTGAAAACTGGCATGAGTTAAATACAACTCACATGACACTTAATGTGTTAAATAAGAAGTCATATCAATTCTACTCGGATGATTTCAAAAAATGAAAGAGGAAGTAATACTTCCAAACTCATGTTACAAGGCCAGTATTACATTGATATCAAAACCAGACAAAGATACAACAACAACAAAAGAAAACCACAGGCAAATATTCCTGAACATAGATGCAAAAAATTATCAAGAAAATACTAGCAAACTGAATCTAATGGCATATAAAAAAGATAATATGCCATGATGAAGTGGGATTTATCCCAGGGATGCAAGGATAGTTCGACATACACAAATGAATAAACATGATACATCACATAACACACACAACATAACAAAGGACTAAAACCATATGATCATTTTGATAGATGCTGAAAAAGAATTTGATAAAATTTAACATCACTTTATGTTAAAAATATCAACAAATTGAGTATAGGAGGAATGTACCTCAACATGATAAACACCATACATGACAAGCACACAGCTAATTTTATACTGAATGGGAAAAAATAGAAAGCCTTTTCACTAAAAATTGGAACAAAATAAGACGCCCACTTTCACCACTTTTATTCAACACAGTACTGAAATTTCTAACCAGAACACTTACGCTAGAGAAATAGATAAAGGGCTTCCAAATTGTAAAGGAAGAAGTCAAATTATACTTGTTTGCAGATGACATGATCGTATATTTAGAAAAACCTAGACTCTACCAAAAAACTCTTAGAACTGATAAATGAATTTAGTAAAGTTGCAGTATTCAAAATTACCAAAAAAAAAAATTAGTGGCATTTCTATACACTAACAGTGATCAATCTGAAAAAGAAACCCAGAACACAATTCTATTTACAATAGCTACACACATACACACTTAATACCTAGGAATAAATTTAACCAAGGAAGTGAAAGCTCTCTATAAGGAACACTGTAAAATACTGATGAAAGAAATTGAAGAGGACACACAAAAATGGAAGGATATCCCATGTTCATGGATTGCAGAATTGATATTGTTAAAATGTCTATACAAAGTCACCTACAGATTCAATGCAATCCCTATTGAAATACTAATGACATTTTTCACAAGAATAGAAAAAATTCCTAAAATTTGTACATAACCACAAGAGACCCCAAATAGCTAAGGCAATCCTGAGCAAAAAGAACAAAGCTGGAGGCATCACACTACTTGATT